GCAAAATAACCATTTTTGAAGAAAAACTCGAAATGCGCGCGGTATACATGGACCTAGGAACAAAACATTCAAGTCTTCCGTCTGTCCGTATGTTTGAACGCGTCGATTTCGGAAGATATAAGGCTAGAGACTTGAATTTTATTTCAGCCCGTCGTCCTGATCAGAAATATATATACTTTATGAGGTCTGCCACGCCTCTTCTGCCTATTACATACACTTAACAAAACCATTATAGCCTGATTTCCCATTTTTAATGGGTTCAGTGTATACAAAAATGAGTTTATACAATGCTGTATTGTTAGTCCCTTTCTCCGTAACAAAACTTTTAATGCCAGATACCTCTTTTTTATTAAGTTTTTATATTTTTTGCTTACAATAAGAAGCATTGTCTGGGTTTTCAACTTAATTTACATTCAGACGAATATCGAATATCTTATCAGTCCGAAAGCAACTAGAGCAGTGTTTCTTCTGTTTATCACAATTAGTTTGCTGCACTGAAGAGCTAAAAATTGAAATATCAAATTTAAAAGCTATTTATATAACGAAGAATTTATATTTACGGACTATGCATATATCTTCTATTTTTATTTCTACGTCAAGCTTTGTTTTCTACTTCTTTCTCTCTCACTTTTTTCCCTCTTTCACTTTGATATAAATATATAAATTTTAGTTTATTCTAGTTTAGTTTTTACTCCATTAATTTCATATAAGGCCCGTCGCCCAGTAATGCCAACTAGAATATGTGAATAGGGATATTTCAGTGGTAATTTTTTTTTTTTTATTTCTATACTAATATCTGAGCTCTATCTTATGTCTCACATCTCTGAGACTCTTACTCCTACTGGAGTATATATTGGGCGTATAGTTGATATACAAAATGTATCCCTTTGATTGTTGTTGTAGGTGTCTGTTGACGGGCAAAGGTAAAGTCAACTTGGCTGGCCGTCAATTCGAATACTTTTTGACTCGACCAGAGTAAGAGAGAGAAAAAAGCAAATAAAGTTGCAGCCGCAGCTTTGAGCTATTAATTGAAGCCACAAAAAGTGTCAATTTCTTTGCTTTGAGCCGCTGTTAATGTTAAAAACTCATTACGCGTCTTGATCTGTGCGAAACAAGGCGTTCGTTTCAATGTGTGGTCGCTGTGTATGTGTGTGTGTGAGTGTGGGTTGCCTTAATAACCACAAAACAGCTGCATATGCCGCAACAAACATAACAAACATACCAATACAATAGCGCACACACACGTATGCGTATTGTAGGACACACACACATACACATACACATAGTCATACACTTAAGCAGGCAGCACACTCGTAAATGAAAATCTTTGTGCAGAATTAATTAAGTAAACAATACGAAAATTGTGAAAATTGCTTTGAATGCGTCCCCAAGCGCGCAAACACAGAGGGAGAAAGAGAGAGAGAGAGAGAGAGAGAGAGAGCGAGAGTGGAAGAGAGAAAGAGAGACATCTAGACAGAGGCATAAGCAAGTTATATCCACATACGGCACACACACACACACACATATATACAGATAGAGCTGCCTTCCGCCACACATGTAAAGTTATTGTGCACAGCTGTTGTTGTTGCCATTACTCATTATTATTATCATTGTGCTTAATAGGCAAAAACGATGGGTGCTGTGGCCGCTGTCGGCGCAACAGCCGGGCAGAAGGCTGCTCAGCATCGCACACAGTACTGAGTACTAAAAAGCAGCCAACGCTCATTGTGCATTAAAAATTACCCCATGCGAAATTACATCTGCCGTAATGGTAGGACACTGCAAATGGAGCCTAGACTCCATTTGCTCAACCAAGGGCGAAACTTTACCTAACTATTTGGGCAAACTAAGAAAGCTTCCTCTCTCTCTCTCAAGTAATTGATGGGGCTGATAATAGCCGGATATCTGACTGATGACTGATAGCAGAATGCTTAACCTGAGCATACTGAATTTCATCAATGGCTGTTTCGCCCTTAGATATAAGCCGCGATTGCTCGGTTTCCGTTCAACTGAATAGATTTGAAAGAACGATGCAATTTGAATGAAATAAATGCTGTTATATGAAACTTAAATCACTTATGACGAAGACTTTATACATTTGTTTTATTTGTATACCTTGAACCCAGTTAAACTGGGAAATCTTTTCCTTAATATCGACAACAAACGTTTTTAAGCGTATTTTGAATAATATTCAGCTAGGGATTTCAGACTTGCTGTGCAGGTCGAAGTAATGTATACAAATATTATAAATCTTTAGTCGCTTTACAATAGGATCTCTTCAGCAACTAAGCTGCCATAATATAGCCTACACTGCGGCTCCGCGTCAACTGCGCTGCACTATGGGGAATTTTGCCGTTTTTCGGGTATTTAGTCATTTTTGCGAAGTATGAAAATTTATAATTTTTTTATGTTAACATCTTAATAAAACTCCAAACTTTAAGGTACTGTACCCAAAATGTTGAATAACAGTCCACTGTTAAGCCTAACAGCTGTTAAAGTCAGCTGTTATCTTCGAAAAGCATTTGCCTTCAGCTTACAATTTGTGGTAGCCGATTTTCAAATCATCGTTATTCAATGACCAGACATTATTTTTGAGAAATTTAAAAAGGATATGAATTTTTAGGGCTTCTACTATGCGTTGGCTTAAAAACCAATTGATGTTTGAACTTATTTTAATCATTTATTGTATAATTAGCAAATGTTGTCAAATTTCATTTCTTGTAAATAAAATTAAACTTTTTAATACAAAATTTTAATTAATTTTTTTTGGGTGGGCGGTGACACGCCCATTTTTCTAAAATATATTTCTGATGGTATACATATTAATAATACAAAAACCGGATCAAAAAATYTGGCTTAGTTTTCAAGTTATTAATTAATACCCGATAATTTGGATTTTTCCCCATAGTGCGCTGTTTGCAGAGGGTGTGCACTGAGTGCATGCGTATGTGTGTGTGTGTGTCTCTGTACATACACATGTATGTACTTTGTTATGCCTGCATAAAAGAAGCGTATAATTAGCTCATCGAAGAGCTCAGTGAGTCGCGTAGTCGAGAGTTTGCTAAGTTAGCTTTTATTAGCTTTAACTTTAATGTGTTGTCACTTGCCTGCTTGATATGATCAAATTTGTTTGGTATTTCCATATTATATTGTTTCAGTGCAGTATATTAAGATCATCTTGTGGGGAAAACCAGTAGAATTCTCTGTCTCTATTGGTGCTTTCCACAATTCATTGAGAATAGAAATCGAGCGTTGAATGGGTATGTTAGAACAGGTATAGTAAGAGAACGAAGGACCCTGACCCTGACTAAGGTATATCAAAATCTAAATGATACTCGGTGTCGATCTAGCTCTGTCCGTCCATCTGTCCACCAGTTCAACTGTCCAGCTATTCAACAGTCCATAGTACGACAGTCTATCCGCCCATTTGTTACAGAGTCCGTCCGTCTGTCTGTTCGACAGTCCGTCCGTGCTACAGCCCGGCTGTCCTTTTGTACATCTATCCGCGCGTAAGAATGTATCGATATTGATAACTATTAAAGCTGAAACAGAATTTCATTTTACAAGGAGTTTCTGTAGTACGAGATTAATGATGGTTCGTTGGATTAATTACGCCTATCTATCATATCTATCTATCATATAGCATTTATTTAGATCATTGTGCTTTCCCTACAATTTTAAATTTTATATTTATGCTCCGAATTTCAGTTGCAGTTGTAGACAATACTTAATGACGCATGCTGCTTTATTTAGGAATCATCGCATCTTGAATGGAATCGAGCCTAACTGTTGGATATATTGTAAGGGTTTGTTAGAGATTTATCTATTGGAAAGTCTGATTTGATGTGAAGCTTAAAGCTAATATGTTTAAAAGAGAAGCCCTCAGGGTATCTCTTAGTCTGGCACTCCCCATTGTTTTTAAATAGTGCAGAGGAAACAGATCACAAACTAGATTCTCACGACAGAACAGCTAAGACTGCTTCACGTGAACACAATGAGCTAGTCATAAAATGGCCCAGGCCCACTTTTCAGTACTGTTCTGAAATGGGCAGAAAAACAAAAATTTGTCTAGAAAAAGCATTCAATTTGATATTTCGTCTTGTGAGCAGAGTCGAAAACGGGTTTATAAGTGGATAAAAGTAGAAGCTCCAGATAGAAGCTTGATAATTGTAATAGAATGAAGAAAGGAGATAAACACGAATTGGTATTCGGTTGGAATTCTTAATCATCTTGTTGAGTTGTCATCATTAGCATGACTTGTGCTTTGTGCACGCTTTCGTTGCCTATCGATCTAGAGAGCTTCGCAGTCTGAGGGACACAAGATGACAGAAAGAGAGAGAGAGAGAGAGAGAGATGGAGAGAGAAACTGAGGGAGAGCGTGAAACTTTTATGATTTGATCTAAAATTAGAGTCTAAATGTCTTTCAGTTGCGTCCACTGCCGCCACTCTTACTCGAATTCGTAACTAATCCAATAAAAAGAGTTTGTAAAATCATAGCTAATCAAGCTATGATAATTGCTGGGAGTGACAATATACATGGGGTCCATGACTAAATGCCCTTTGTAGCATGAATCTGAATGAGCTTCTGCAGATTTATCTTGTGTATATTTGTGTGAAATTCCAAATTGCTTTCATCTAGCAGCCACTGTTTTTCTCTCAGTGTATTCGAGCGAGGTAGAAAGGGCCCCGAATATTTGGCACTCAAAACTCTCCCAGTTTATGATCTACAAGGCGTGCTGAGTAGCATAAATGCAGCTCGATTGTCTCGATTTTACAATGATGTTTACGATCGAATTTTTGTTTGTTATGTTTGCTCAGCTGACGGTGGGCGACGACTGGCGTCTGTTGATTGTCTTGTCTCGTAAAATCCAAACAGGTATCAGTTCGTCAGCACAGCCAGAGATGCTTTTATGTCAAGATCAGTCAAGTTGCCCAAGTCACGAATACAGCCGCAGCTCAGCCACAGCGACAAAGATAAAGAACACCGTTACAAGCTTTACTTTCACTTGTGCAAACACGGAGCGAGCTTGCGCCAAGAACAAGAGCTGGCGCTGCCAGCAGCCCTGAAGCTCACTTGGCGGCCATCTCTGCTAACGCGAGGGTCATCAGCGGGGCCCTAGACGTGCAGCCGACTGGTGCTGGAGCCTAAAGCAGCGCTTGGACGTCGCTCGCGAGCGTCTCTGGGCTCAGTAGTATGTCAGGGGGCAAGCCAAGCGGTCCAATTTACCGACTCCGATTCGCGTCTCGTGGAATCTAGTACGTGCTACCTGTCTGAGCTCTCTCTTGGCTCTCGCGCCCTCTCGCTCACTCTAGCTAACTCTGTCTTTGTCTAACTCATTTGCCGGTTTCGCCCTTCCGCATAGCTAAAATTCTTTGTCGAGATTTGATTTATTAATTTAGCTCGTAATATTTTGCATTTCTTTCTCTCACTCTCCCTCTCTCCCTATCTCTGCCCCAGCAGCTGGAGACGGCGGAAGCGACAAGAGAAGCAACACCTTAGTTACCATGATTCTGGCTGGCTGTGGGCCTGCCTGCTGCCGCTGCTGCTGCTGCTGCTGGGCAACATCCGCGGCTCTGGCGCCCATCTGCACAAATGGGATATCTTGCAGAAGAGTTTTCGCTACATGCAGGAGACGATGCTGAGCAACAGCTTAGAGCGCGCTCATCTCAATTATGGCATTGTGTTCGAGTGCCGCACCATGTAAGTGCTGTCATGCCGAGCTCCCCAAGATCCTCATCCCAGCTTCCTCCTCTCATGCCACCCACAGCTCCGACGCCAGTCTGGGCGACGAAGTGCACTTCCATCTGCAGCTCGGAGACCTGCGCGGATTTCGTCGCCTGGATGCCAATAAGAAGCTGGCGCTATTTCTGCACGGCTGGAACGATCAGGGCAGCAAGGACTGGGTGCAGGAGCTCCTACTGAGTAAGCCAAGCGAGAAACACTAACTTGCATGCGATTTCAAGAATTTTCTCAATTTTAATTTCATGAACTCAGCGGCTCATGCCAGACCCTAGCTCCCAATATTCATTTGTCGTAGACTTGTTCTGGAAAGTTTTGGAAACTTTACCCGCTGACATAACTCTTTAGCTCCCCTATTGCCTCCTCACAAGTTGGTTTCCAATCAGACTTTTCAGTTAGACTATTTTATCACCACTTTCTCTTTGTCAATTGCTTGTCTTATTGAGAATTGTTTCGTTTCTCAGCTCAACATCAATTGTTGCTCCAAACCTGATCGCAATAGGAATAATATTTCACTTTAAATTTAAACTTTTTATAAACAGATTCAAAGAGACGATGCATATTTGGGCGTGGCAGCTCGTATGTTTTTTTTTTTTTTTTTTTTTTCTCAAAATTTATAATTAGTTACAATTTGTAATTTCAAACGTTATGTTAGACTATTATGTGGATGCTACAAAACTAGAAATATTAAAATTCGTGAAGGTGTGGCAGTTATTTTTATACATACATAAAATTAAATATTACCCTAGATATGCATTTCTAAATCCTTATGCAATTTGCTGTTACTTCAACTTGAGTATTTGATTATGTAGGAGAGGCTTTTGAGCGTGAGCAATAATTTCAATATTGAGATGCAAGTGAAATGCAACAATTAGGAAAGTGTAGTGAGAAAGAGATCCCCTTGAGTGTACTGCGTCATCCATCAACTATGGATAGGTCTTCTGGCATCATGCTGGAATGGAGTTCATTTTGTAGTGATTTATTGTTGATGCTTATGTGTGAGCAATGACTACGTTTAAATTTATAGCTAGCTCTAAGTTTCGTCCAGACCTCTCAGCATCACAGGAAGGCGACATGTGTGGCATATATGTTTAGGCGAGGCTCGGCCGGGCCTCCATATTCCATATCCCAGTGTAATTAACTGAAGGTTTGTTGACGTTGACTTAAGTAGCCAAAGTTTACCAAGGCGCATACTTGATAATGAAGGATTGGGATAATGAACACACCAAGTTATAAATGCTGAACAAAAGTATTCTTTGTCGTTTCGTTGCTGATAGTTTGTTAACAACTCAAATGACATATTTTATGAAAGCTTACAGATATAAAACTTTATTTTGTTATAGCTGAATATTTATGTTATTTGTACATTATTAGCTATTAGCTCAAAACTGGCAGATCAGAAAATGGGCTGTGGATGAGTAGTAGGCAGTCGGTAATGCCCGACTTCAGCTTTTTTACTTGTTTTTTAATATCATTGTCACTTACTGTCATTACGAGGTTTAAAGTTTCTTGTTGAAATTAAACCAAAAATTATAAGTAAGTCTCATAAAAAAAAGAAAAAAAAAAAAAAACTTAAAAAGTTCATTGAAACTTTAAAATATATATATCAAATCCACACAGTTGAGGGATCGAAGTGAAACTCGCCAGCATGCGGCGAAATATTTTCTGAGCACTTCTCTTAGACATCGTAGAATCATGACACGTAATTGTTGTGGTCCAACTAGTATAATTCGTTATTCTTCTGAGCCTGGGTACTAAATTATACACAGACTCCTGCCTAAATTCATCCTTAAGTCAAGAGCGTCTATTTGTCGATTATATGTAAAGTTGCTTGACAAGCCTTGTCCAGTTTGAGAAGAATATTGATGGATATTGATGGATGGATACAGAAGCTGGTGATTAAATGAAGTTTAAGTAATCACAATGTTTTAAAGTTATTTGGGTCAAATCATTATATTCTTAATACTCAGTTCCTTAAATATATTAATATTGGACTTGTTTCATATATATTCTTTTCTTATTGTTGAGACCTACCGTTGGTCTATTTCATATTTTTATATATTTCTAATTTGCCGCTGTAGCTATAGGAGTCAGAATACATCTGCCTCACTCCATTGCCACTCTCCCTCTCTCTCTCTCTCTCTCTCTCTCTCTCTCTCTCTCTCTCCCTCTCTGTCTATCTCTTTCTATCACATTATCTGGCAGATATTGAGTGCATGGAAGGCAATCTTTGCTCAGCTGATGGTTTATAGATACATACTACATATGTATAACACATATATTCCCTTAGTTCCGGTAGCACCGTTTACATCTACATACATATGCATGTAGCTCTATTGTGAACATTGTTTAATGCTCCTTCCCAACATTTCGACAGCTTGGACGCTTTTCGACGAGGACTACAATGTGTGTGTCGTGGACTGGGGCAATCTGTCGCAGAACGACTACAAAAGCGCCTCGATGTCCATCTTCGACGTTGGCCTGACGGTCGCCGGCATTATCATTGCCTTGGAGGAAATGCGGCCGCAGCACTTCAATCGGCAGAACATCACCTTGGCTGGCTATAGCCTGGGAGCCCATGCGGCTGGCTATGCGGGCGCCGTGCTGGGCGGGCAGGTGGAGCAGATCATTGGCCTGGACCCGGCTGGGCCGCTGTTCACGCTGCCCGCGGATGTGCACCCCAAGTACCGGCTGGACAAGACGGACGCCAAGTTCGTCCAGGTGCTGCACACCTCGGGCGGCACGCTGGGCACGAGCCTGAAGTGCGGCCACGCCGACTTCTACCCGAATGGCGGGCGAGCGCCTCAGAGCAACTGTCTGATGTTTATGAATCTGCGCGACATGCAGAATACAAGTGAGTGATGGGTGGACAGCTGTGCCGAAAGAGACAAGATATAATCCTCCATTCCTCCGTAGATCCCATCGCCTGCAGTCACTCGGCAGCTGCGATTTTCTTCAGGCAGTCCATGGACCCGCAGTACCCCTTCATTGGCTATGAGTGCGATAGCTATCGTGCCTATCGCGCGGGCTACTGCGATAACAATCGGCGCGCCGTATTCGGCATCCACTCGCGCCGCTGGATACAGGGTAGCTTCTATTTCGACACCAGCTCGAGCCACCCCTACGTGCAACGGCAACGGCCGCATCGCCGCTGGAATTGGATTTGGGATAGGTCTCACAATCGGAATCGCATTAGCGCCAGGCACTCAGCTAAAGACGAAGCAATTACACTAAAAGCAACAGCAACAGCAACAGCGATGGCAACTACCGCCGACCCTCTGGGCCGCACTCCGCAGTGGACGCGACGGTGGCGAAGGCGCAGCCGTGAGCGCCATCGCTGCCCGTCCAGATGAGCCCACAGAAGGAGAGCGAGCGAGAGGGAGAGTGGGAGAGGGAGTTGAGCGGAACTAGTTCCTAGTGTTGTTGTTGTTATATGCAGGAGAATCATTCGATATGCATGTCCGATAAAAGAAGAGAGCCAGAAGAAGAATAAGAGTGACGCCCCTACCAGACCATTTGTGCCGCGTGTGCTCCACATTCCAGAGTCAAGAGTCGAGAGTCGAGAGTCGAGAGTCGCGCATTGTTCTTGGCAGCAAATGAATAGAGTAGCAACAACAATCTGTTGGTGTTAAGTTGATTATTGTCGAATAAAAAATGCAAAATGAAAAGAAAGGAAAAACAAGCACTCAGTGCATGCTAGAAGCTGTCTAACGTGTTGGCTAAAATGGCCGCTCATAATTAAGAGGGGTCGGGCTGGCTGTCTCTCCGTCTGACATCTACATACTGATATAGGTGCACATGAACATAAAATAATTTAACACTTAACGTGGACAAGGTTCTGGACCCCCGGCCAGGACCAGACCCGACCAGACCCAACCAGACCTGGCTGGCTGTAGAAATGCAACTCACATAACTCATGCGAAGTCGACGGCCGCGCTGGCGACGACGGCGCCATAAATTTCAAAACAGGAAGCACCGAGCAAAAACAACTCGCAACTCAAGTGGAATGTAACGGAGCAGCAACAACAGTAGCAGGAGGAGGGGCAGCAGCAGAAGGAGCAGCAGCAGGAGCAGGAGCCCCAGGAGCTGGGGCAAGAAAACGAACAACAAGCTAAATAAAAGCAGAGCTGGTCTCATGTAGACGGCAAATATTAACTACCTTTTAGCCGAGGCGTGCCCAATGCGAAAGGCCAGCTGACGTAAAGTTGTAGAAAATTATGTTTTACAATGCGAAAATTGAATTTCAGTTTATTGTTTTCGCTTTTCATTTTGTTTTACGATTAACTGTAAAGTGCAGCCGCCAGTGTACGTTGCGTATACGCTGTGTGTGCTGCCAGCCAGGGCCGAACTTTGTTGCACGTCAATGACTTCCTGCCAGTCCCTGTACTCGACTGTATGTACCAACATAATATACACACACACACACACACACACATATATCTCTGTGTGCTCGCTGTGTGGGCCGTTGTTTTCATTCGGACAACCTGCTGTAGGTAGCATGTAGAAACAACATTCGATACCTGCCAAATTAATTAGAAATTTTAAAAGTTACCAGCGTATAAAAATTGAATTCGGAAATAGAACGAACAGCCACAGGCAGACCCAGCCGGGCTGAGCTGCAAAAAAGTATCGAAATCGACTACCCTCTGGCCCCTGGGGGCTTTATAATATAGGGGTCAGACATCGATAGGCGCGGGCTCGAATCGAGCATGCTGTGCCTCAGCAAGCGCCGAATTTTATGAATCAGCTTTAGGAACTCCCTAAACGTTTTTCCCATTTGCTGACAGCCGTTCTTAACAAGGCTAAGGTAAATTTGAGAAGACATGCAGATGTATTCAAAGAACTTGGCTATAGTCATATTACTGTATTACACTTGCAAAATTTAAAATTGGAGGGCGAGCTTGACTTTCATGTCAAGAAAGTTTCATAAATATAATACTAGACTCATTTCAGGAACTTAATAGCCTTAGACTGAATAGATTTCGCTTACTCCCAGCTAATATGATAAATAATCGGAAAGTGCGCTTCCTGCGAACTAGCAAATCGAAGACATTAACAAAAGCAATTATATATTGCTCAACTGAATATCCTGATATAAAATAGTGTTCCAGTAAGTTTAATGGATCCCATATCCATAATCAGTTCACCTGGCACTACGACGAAGTAAAGCACTTCCATCTAATGATACAGAATTGATTCCTGCTAATGACAATGGAAACTAGCAGCACAATTTTGGAATTCAAAATGTATTATATGAGTCCTCAGCTCTTCTCGAGTTCTCCATATCCCATGGGTCTTGCAAGCCAACAAGTGGGGGTAGAGATCCCCCAGTCCCATTCGCTTGGAACTACTCCCATGTATTTAAATCAAATCAGTCCTCTACCCTGTACCCAGTTCACTTGGAACTACTTCCAAGTATTGGCAATAGCCAAATACAGCTTTGTTAATGGTTGCTTCTGCCTATCCCATTCCCTTGGAACTACACAAAGTATCAGCTTACGCGCTGAAGATGACATTAGAGACTGGTCAGGCAGTTGCATCCGAAGATGAAGTTCGCAATGAGCTGGGCTTTGGCTGTGCTTTAGTGCAACTCAATTGCGTCCTTCTGCTGCTTTAAAGGCCTCTCAGCTATTGCTACGAAGAGCCTGCTTGTTTGTCTGATTGTATGAAAGGATATTGTTATCTTTGTTATTGCAGCTGCGTGTGGCAAAACGTGGCAGCAGTCCACCGAGAGACTCGGCCAAGGAATTGCCAAATTTTGTATTGAGCTCGATTATTGCACACTGAATCTACTCGATATATACACGCATTTGTACTTACATACATAGACAGCTATATCTTGCTGGGCCGTTTAGAAATCAAAGTTTCCTTTATGGTCTATGGACAGCGACAGCATGAGCTTACGCCAGGGTATTTGGCTTTCAGCATTCCCAAAATAGTTCTTTTTCCTTGAATTTACATTTTGTTTGCTGTGTGTTGCTCTATGCAAATAAAAGAAATCAATTCATAAAATTGAATTCAATAAAGCTGTTTGATGATACTCGCTTTGTTTTTCACAACAACAATTAATATGCGCAGCCAAAATAAATACTGTAAACGTATATAGATATTTTTTACGTGGTGACAGGAATTGTTTTCCTTTTATTGCAGTCTTTAATATGTTTCATCCACAATTCAATCAATCGCAGCCATCGCCATCGTTTTCACACGTTGCAAGTCGCATTGTTCTCTCGAAATGATAAATCGTTGTCTTTCTCTCATTAATATACACATAACTTCACTCTATTACAGTTCTTTCATACTTACTATGAACTGCGTATTTATGTTATATTTATGCCTGATTGACAGGGTCACTTACATGGCCTATAGACCGAGAAGTGGCGTCCTTATTATTCAGCGCATTCCAGTGGATCCAAGTGGATGCTTGGATGGCCTTGTGCTCGAGTTGCCAGCCCGACGAACGAAAGTTTCCATTGTTCGGCTCTACCCTGTAATTCGCATTGGCTGCAGACTTCAATTTCAACTTGAGGGCGTTCCAAATAGGCGTGACAGTTACCAAAGCCCCGGCCGAGACTGAGACTGAGACTGAGCTGAAGCTGTGGCTGATGCTGATGTTGATGTTGTGCCTGCGCCTGTGACTGGGACTGGGACTGTGACTGAGGCTGATGATGTGCCCGTAGCTGGAGGAAGGCAGGACTTTCACTCAATAGCAACGAGTTGTTAGGAAAACTATTTTACCGCTCAATTGATTTTGCAATTTATTTGCGCGCATTATGCAAACGCACACAGACATAAACAGAGGAGCACACACGGGCGATGGGC